GCACACACACACACACACACACACACACGCATATTTATAATTTAAAAGGTTTCTAAAATCTTTTTAAAATTATAAATGTACTTACTGTGAATTTTGATCAGTTTAATGCATACTTGCTGAATAAAAGTATAAAGCAAAAATATATATATATTTCTTATAATTCAGTTTTGACATATATAAAGTGGATTTCATCATTACTTACTCTGTCAGTTTCATTCTCAAACTCTGGATTCTTCCATTTCTGATTGGACAGAATTTTCAGCACTAACAATCCAAAAATAACAACTAAAATGCCTAATGAGTTTGCAAAGAGAGCTTCAGCAGGCAGCGCCGTATATGGTTCTGTATTGCTTCCATTTTTCCCATTTCTGTTGAGACACAATCAGTTGGGAACACTGAAACAGCTACAAACAACTCAGCCATTACAAAAACAGATTATTAGAGGGTGGTTTCACCATAATAAGAGCCTCATATACAGCTAATTTAAAGAGAAAAGTTATTATTTATCTGAATAAGATAAATCACAGCCATTTCTTGCAGCTACAGGGTTGGGATAATAGGATTGTCACTCACAGTGTCAGCAGTAGTTTCTCATTGATCCCAGAGAGGCTGGTGATGAGACTCAGGGTGAAGATGGCAATGCCCATCCAGATATGGAGAGGTTTCAGGCAGGCTCTAACAGCCAAAGGAGTCCAGGGCAACAAGAAAGCACAAAGACCCACAAACCACTATTCAATCAGAGGAGAAATGCACGAGAGACAACGTCAACCATCATTGTAGACTGTAGAACACACTCATAGAGCTTTGCCAAGCATGAATCAATGAAAATTCTGTGACATGACAGTAATCAGGCTAGTCCATGTATACTGTACCTGCAAAGTGAATAGGGCCACTGTGGAGATCCCAGTCCAGCTGTGTAATGAATACAGATGAGGGATGTTGTTGGCAGTGTGAAAATCAAAGGCAGCACGCACTCCTAGCACGGACAACACCACAGCCACAAACAATAGCCCTCCATGGGTCAACTTACACCACCACCTGCTCCATTTGAGAGGAACACGGTACAGGACAATGGCTAAAAAACAGAAAAAGACACACAGAAAAAGATGAAAAGAAAAGGAGAAAAGTGTTTTTAGACATGGTACATAAACATTGTACCATGCTCTTTTGACATGTACCATGGTAATATCCCTGGAAGTACATCTATACATCTCTACATCTATACTACAGCTTTCACTCACTAGTCATACAGCAAATTAGCTATTGCATACGTAGCTTGAAAGACTGTCTATTATGGACGAGCACAGCTGTTTGTGTTTAATTAAATCCTTGTTATCATTGCGCATCTACTTAACAGTTTGTTGTTACATTTGGTGGAAAATATTACTTGCACACTTAAGATACATTATGGCAGTTGTTAAGCACCGATTTTGGAAGACATGTGACAGATCACATCAGGTTCCACAAAAGAAAGAACGTATGTTGTAAGTAAAGGATCACAGATTTTTTTTTTTTCGGTGTCATTCAAATACCAATGGCCATTTACTCACTTTTTAAATGAGAGAAATTGTCATCTTCTCAGACCACAAAACTTAGTCTGCCAGAAGTCACGCGGTGTATTTTCATGGTCATGTAATGTTCTAGCTGCTTTTAAAAACACAAGATGTACAAAGATCTACATTGTTCAGACATATTTATTGACTCCAGTATGGTTAAGTCACCAATATTTACCAGAGAGATATTAAACGTAATGGCGAAATATAACAGAGGAGGAGGATTATGTCCAATAGTGAGGCATTAATAAACAAACAGACATAATGTGTCTCATCATATATCATATATTAAAATTGAAGCTACAGAAGGTAAAGGCATGTAGAGACAGACATGCTTAATACAGATTTCTTTACCGTCCTCATCTTCAATGAACAGTGAAATATACTGTTTTTTTTATCCAAAGAAAGCTCACCGTTTTCAGAAATTAGAATACGGCAGCTTGGGACGTCAGGCCGAAAGAAGAACTTCTTCATTGCAGAATGCGGCAGCAGGGTGTCCATCATGCCTTCGTATTTTGTGATGAAGGCTTCAACGTCCAGCTTCTCTTGGCTTATAAAGGCTCGCACATTCCTGCTGCTCCTGTTCATCACATTCACTTTAGCATTTTCATTGCCCATTGTCTGCAATATTCCTAATGATAGTGAATACAAAATGTGTAATGCAAACATCAAATACAATGCCATCAGTGGTACAGGGTAAGTACAACTTCAAACAGGTTTTTCGAATCAAAATGAGAATGCCTTTTAAATTCCAATTCAATTCCTGGAAAAAAACAAAAAACAAACCCTAGCTTTCTATTTTTTCTATTCTATCTACTTGTTTTTCTTTATGTGTGTGTGTGTGTATATATATATATATGTGTATATGTGTATATATATATATATATATATATATATACACACACT